CACTGCCCGCCGCGCAAATGCGGAGCGACCCCTTGACTTCCGCCGCCTGCCAGCCGAAGATCGGCGAGTGCTCGTCGTTCATCTGCCCGTCGGCCCACTCAACTGGGCGCGGCCGTCTGCCCCCGGGCCGAATTCCTCTACGAAACGGTAGCCAGCCCTTCGCTTTCCCTGGTCGCAACCGCCAGCGCCGACGGCAGCGCGGCCACGGACGGCCGGCCCAGTAGCGGATCTGCCCCCCGCCCAACCTGTCCACCATGCAAAGGGGGAGCTTGAGTGGCGGCCCAGCGTCGGCCGAGCCCCCCCCCCAGTGGACGGCGAGCACCCGCCTGCAACGAAGATCTCCTTGGCGATGTCGGCCCGAACCTCATTCTCGAACCCGGCGTACTTCAGCACGCACTGTTCGCCGTCACTGCCCTTCGGCAAGACATAGAGCTGCATGGCAACGGCGATTTCGCCAGGGCCCTTGTTCGGTTTAAACGGGGCCAGCAGCGCCATGCAGTTGCCCGCGCACATGGCGCCACACACGCCGACTGCGTCTAAATTCTCCGCGGCGCCGCCCCCCGGGGCCACCCAATCCACCAAATGCTAGAGATTCACGACGTCGCCCGCGCACTGGAGCGGCACGTCGCGGAGGCAGAGCACTGAGGGAGGGTCCGACGGGAAACGCCCCGGTTCCTCGAGCACCTCGCAGGGCTGCGCCGCCGCCACGTGCAGCCAAGGGTTTTTGATCTGATGAGTCGCGGACGCGTCGCCGCCGATGAGCCCCCCCATTGGTCTGGCGCCGCCAGCCGCGAGGCCCGCCACGGCACGCAGCGGGCGCAAACGGAAGCTCGAGGCGATCTGCGGCGGGCGCCACTTGAGCCAGACATTGACGCGTCAATCTGCAAGCTCGAGCGGGGCGGGGGAGCGAGCGGGGCAGAGGCCAGACGCTCTGCTTCCCGTGGATCACATTTTCGTGAGCTGTAGAATATGCTTGTCGCCGCGCGCTCAGTGCGACGCAGCGTGCTTCCCCCGCGGCCCCCGGCCGCGAATGCGCACATTGCGCGTCTATCTCTAGCGCAAGAGCCCATTCACCCCCCATCGCACCACGCCCTCACTGGCGCGCCCCCCAAGCCCTTCGTTTCTGAAAGGGGGAGAGGTCGCGCGCGCGCAGGTCTCGCAATATCAGCAGCGCAGCACTGGCCGATCGCCGCCCCCCCGGCCGCGGAATAGCACCCCTCTCAGCAGCCCCCGGCCGCGCTGACGAATGGCGCATGCACATCGCGCTCTTATTAAAACGCCACCCATCACAAGTGCTCTTGCGCTGCACCGGCGCGCGTCAGAACGCGGACCCCACCCAGTCGAGCACCATCGCGCTCGCGACGGCCCAAAGATCCTGACCGACGCCAGCGCCCCCACTGAGCGGAGCGGACGCGGGCGGCAAGTGCTCTGCCGCGCGGCTCCCACGTCAGAGGGCCAACGCGCTTCCTGACGTGCTTCCAGGCCCCGTCGATGATCTGCGCGCCCGCCTTGACCTTCAACGCGTTGCCGATCGGGAGCTTGTGCTCGGCGATCTTGGAGCACACGGGCTTGATCCGCGCCAACTTGCCCCCCCGCCCCACGCGCCCCCCACAGTGGATTGCTGCGTCGTGGAGCACGCCAAGCGCCCTCATCTCGCGGCCCCCGGCACTGCCCGAGCGCGAGATCACCTTGCGATCCTTGAGGCGGCTCGAGAGGAAGGGTTGCCAGTCGCTCTTCTTGACAGCGCCTGGGCCAGGTGCGTTCTTGGCGGCGCGGTCCGACTCTGTCTTGAACAGCACGACCGCGTCTGGCTCGCCCCTGTCCACGACGCCCGCCCACTGCCCCCGCTCCTTCGCCTCCGTGTCCCCTGTGATCACTGTGGCAAAGACTGACTCGTCAGCTTCCACGTCCAACCACTTCTCCCCGTCGCCGCACGCGACGCCCCTCTCGCACTTCCCAACGCACTGCTGGCGAGCCACGTCGAGGTTGCGGGCCATGCCCTCGATCATCTCGCGGTTATTGCCGCAGCGCTGGCGGATCTGCGCGGTCGCCATTCCCGGGGGGGGCGCTGAAAAATAACCCGGGCCTTGTCCTACTGCGTCGAGGTCGCTTGTCCATTGCCTAAAGCAAAGATTGGGCGGCAGTGGATGGGGCGCACCTGCTGGCCGCAATTCTTGCCGCCACTGCACCTCCGCTCGTAGCCGCGCCCACTCGCCCACTGCTTGATGCAGCGGTCGCCGAGGGGGCCCTTGCCGCATACTGGGCACGTCAACCCAGACCAATCGAACAGGATGCCGTCCTCGATCAGCAAGTCCACCAGCTCTGTATCGATGTCTGCGGTGAAGAAGTCTATGGTACGGCACCACTGTTCACGCTCCTTCCCTCTACGGCCCTGGACACGGCCGCCCCCCCTCTTCGGTGCTGGGACGGGGTTGAAGGCCGCGGCGGTACGTTTCATGCATGCGGTTTTCTTCGCGGTTCCAGAGGCCGCAGCAGGGCGCCCAATTGCGCGCGCCACGGCGGCCCCCAGAATGGATAAATCAAAAACCGCACCAAATTAGCAGCTATCGCGGGCCAAGCGTTCGAGCCAAAGGCTACGGCGCGCAGCTGAAGAGGCCGAGACAGCAGGAGAAGCGAGGAGCAGCAGGGGGGGAGAGCAGGCTCATCATGCGCGGAGCGAAAGGGGATCCTTTTTCCCAACCATCCTGTGGTGTTGGGTCCTCGTTTTGATGACGGCCCCCGCGTTCCTCCTCTCCTCCTCCCCCATCCTCCCCCCCCCCCCCCATCCATCCACCCAGCACAGCGCTTCGTGGCCCCATAGGGAGCTCCACCGAAGCCCCCAGTGGGACCGCCCGCATGCGCCCCCCACACTCACCGAAGCCCCCACTGGGACCGCCCACATGCGTCCCCCACATCCAATTTGGCAGTTTCACCAACCCAGCACAGCGCTTCGTGGCCCCACAGGGAGCTCCACCGAAGCCCCCAGTGGGGCCGCCCGCATGCGTCCCCCACGCCCATATTGGCATTTTCACCCACCCAGCACAGCGCTTGACCCCATAGGGAGCTCTACCGAAGCCCCCAGTGGCACCGCCCACATGCGCCCCCCACATCCAATTTGCTTCGTGGCCCCATAGCTTCACCGAAGAAAATGTTCACAGTTGCGGTGCCCACAACTTCATATGGCTGGGTCCTTCGCCAGGATAATTATTCGGACGCCCTCGAGAGGAAATGACGCAACCACTTTGTTGCGCTGCCCTTTTTCGGCGCGCGGAGCTGCTCGCCGCACGGTTGCGGCGCAAATGGAGGGGGGGAGGCCAATGGCATAGCAGTGCACAGCTTGGGTTCCCCCCCGGGCCCCCTTGCCGGGTTCTGGGTTCCCTCCTGGCTCCCTTGCCGGGTTCCCGCCTGGGTTCCTGTGCTTGGTTCCCTCCTAGGTTCCCTTGCTGGGGCCCATCCTGGGCCCCTTGCTGGGTTCGTTCCTGGGCCCTTCTTGCTGGGTGTGTTGCGGGGTTCCTTCCCGGGGCCCTCTGCCGGCCCCTTGCCGACCCCTTCCGCGGGGCCCTTCCCGGCGCCCCCATGGCGGAGGAGAAGGAGGAGCAAGAGGAGGCGAGGAGGAGGAGAAAGATGAGATTGGAGATTGGAGACGCGAACGAAAGCGAAAAGTCTGCTACTGGGCGGGGGGCGAGCTATACATGCATAGACACAAATGTAGATATACATACACATTGCATATGCATATATACATACTCATATCTACATACATACACATATACCTACAACAAGAAAAGCTACGCACATACATGCACAGATGCAAACGCATAAGCATGTAATACATACACACAACTGCCCATCCACATATACATATACACATACAAAAACACATAATTATCAATCTACATATACATGCACAAATACATGCATATGCATGTGGCCATACATGTGTATACATACACATATATACCTACAAAAACCTGATTCCGCGCAGCACAGGCTCCAACGATCTACCACACAGCAGGACTGTCGGTTGACAGGAGCAGCGCCCTCGCAGCACGGGCGCTCAAACACCGCGTCGGACTGCGCTCACTTCACAGGAAGCAACTTCGCTTGGATGTTGCACGTGTGAAAGGCTAATACAGCGCGCTCAAGGGCCAAGAGCTGCGCGCGCGCATCTGATTCTCCGCTGCAGAGGCCTAGACGAGCGATCAACGACTCTGGCGCTAAAATGCGCACGCTCCACACCACGCACACAGCGTGACACACATGCGAGCAGCGAACGCAATGAGTCATGGAGTCAAGAGCGCCTGGGCCCTCGCAACGGAGACAGCCGAAGACGCATAGAGCCGTCGGCGTTCTTGGCGCCAGCGCGCGAGCTGCGGCTTGTAGCCCGTCTTGAGGGCGAAATGGACAGCCAGAGGAGCGAAGGTTTTCAGCAGCTCGTCGAGCGGCCCCCATTCAATCTGAGACAGCCCGAGTAGCCCCGACGGCAATGGCCACGAGCGGAGACGAGCCGGGAAGGCGGAGGGGAGGCAATCAAGCAGGAGCGAGGAGGTCAGGTGAGCACGGGCTATTTTCTCCATGCGAGCGCGGGCAGTCAGGCGAAGGGAGAGCAGGCGACCGTTTTCCGTGCACCACAGAGCAGTGCCACAAGCCTTCGCCCCGACCTTTTTTCGTCATTTTCGAAGCCGCCGACGACCTCCTCTGACGCGAGCACGATCGGCGTAGACTTCCTGCGCAACGGCGCGAACAGGCTCTGCCCGCGCCCGTGGAAAGAGAGCCCCCTCTCCTCAGAAGCGCGCAGCCGGCGCATCCAGCACGGCCAAATCCGGGCCGTCGCGGGCGCCGCGCACGAGGGCGGCGCAGATGTCTGGTCACAGGGAGACCGCCATCAGGGCGGACCAGTTTGACTGGGCGAGCAAATCATCACGAGGGAGCGCCTGCGGAGGCGAGTGCCGGACTCGACGCAGTGCCCAGGCGCCCTTTTCCTTCACCCGGGCAGGCCAGCGACGAACACGGCTGCGGCGCAACGTCGCCATGACAGCGCGCTGGCTGCATAGAGTGAACGAGGTACTGGTAGGAGCCCCCACGACAGCGATCAGGTTGGCGGTCCGCTGCCACCCTGCGATCACCTTCTGCCGGCGCACGTTGTCGCCCACGCCCGGGCCCATCAGCGCGCCCAGGCACTCGGCAAACGCGGCGATCGCCACGTCCTTCCACCGCGGAACCATAAACGCAATCTTGGCAAGGACGCGGAGCTCCACTTCATTGTCTTGAGCGCCAGCCTCGCCAGGTACGCCGCAACGTGGAACGCGTTCCTCGCGGGGCGCATCATCATGAGGGGCGGCGCCGCGCAGCCCGCGCAGCCCGCGCGGGCGCCAATCGCCGCGCCCTCGAGGGACGCAGCGCGCGAACGGACGCCACGAAAGAGCATGTCCACTCCAACCGCCCGGAGCGCACCCGACCAACGGCACCCGCGCAGATCCCCCGGGGCCACGGCGCAGAAGACCCCCTGCGCTGCCCTCGGTCGGCGCAAACGACTGGCGCGAGGCAGGTCGCGCCGACCGCGTTGCCGACGCCCTCGGGGAAGCCCGCGATCTCCAGCGCCGCGTTCAGCCGCGCGAGACACATCGACGGGATGGCGTCGCCGAAGTCGAAGAGGACCATCAGCGGGCCCTTGGCCCGCGCGTCGCCCTGGACGCCCGCGGCGCGGGACTGCGCGCCCACGACCGCGCGCTCGACGAAGCGCCTCTTCGGGGGGGGGCCCTCCTGAGCGGCGCGGGCACCTGGAGCGACGATCGGCCGCATTAGCTCGTTGCCCGTCGAGGCGACGATTCTTGCAATCAGTATTTTTGAGCGACGTAGGGCGCGTCGCCCTTGCAAGCCCCGTCACGGCTCGGCCATCATCAGACCCCAATCCTCTCGGAGCGAAGATCACGAGTGGGTCGCCGGAGCCCAGCGGGACAGGGCAGCCCTGGCCACCTCTATCGCGACATCAAGCAGTTCCCGCGGCGCCAGCGATGAGCGGTTCCACGCCACGCAGGGCGCGCCGTCAGGCCTGGGGACCGAGCCGTTCAGCTCGCGAGTCAGAGACGTCATCTTGCCGAGCGTTGGGGCGTCCACCTGGGGGCAGTCACACGGGGCTACATGCTTCTCGAGCTAACGGCGAACGCGTTGGACATGACTCGGCTTGGCCTGGAAGAAAGGGACGCGTGTCCTGCGAAACTCCGCTCAAATCTCCTTGGGGGGCTCGGTCTTGGCATGGTCGAGCAGAGAGCAGACCTTCGATGGCTTTGAGTTTGAGAACTCCCCCACTTGGGGGCCAGATCTTGCCGCGAATCTGGATGGCCCTCTGCGTCCTGCGGAGCCACCGCTCGAGGATGCACGGAGCGCCCGGCGCCTGCTCCTCCGTCTGCGCGGCCTCGGCCCGCCGGCCCCGGCACCCCTTCCGGCGCCGCTCGAAGGAACGACGAGACGCGCCAGGCCCCTTCAACACAAAATTGTCGCGGCACGACTAGCCAGCAGGCCCGGGCACCTAGCGGGCAAGGGGCGCGCGAAGATGCACTGCGGGGCGGGCCGCGCGGCGGGGCCGTCTAGCGCTCGCACGGCCAAGCGCGGACGCACTGGGGCGCGGTCAGAGACCCCCACATCAAGGAGCACGTCGGGCGGCGCTGGCACGCCCACTTTGGCGCGCCACTGGGCTGGCATCCAGGGCGGGGATGCACATCTCATCGACGCGGGCGCGCCGCCGGGAGCGCTGGGCGCAGTGCGAGGGCGCCCCAGGACCCAGCTCCACCGCGCCCGCGAGCGCTTGCCCCTAGAGCAGCCCATGCTCTGGATTGCGCCGCAAGAGGCGAAGGGGCCCTGCATTGACCGGGGGCGCCGTCGTCTTGACAAGGGCCTCGTCTACGACGAAGTCACCCACGGCGAGGACGGCGATCCACTCGGGCACCTGCTCGGCGACGCCGCTCGTCGCGCAGTGGCCCCGCAGTTTTCTGCGCCTGCTCGGGCGCAAGCTTGAAGTTGTGAGTGTTGTAGATCACGATCACGCTGCGGCGCGCCCCCCCCGAGCGCCGGAGAGGTCGCCGACGACGACTTGATCTGCCGGAGCTGGACTCGCCCAGGGATCGGCTCCGGACGGCGGAAAAGCTCGGCGCCCCGCGCCTCCGTCGCCGCCACGCCAGGCACCAGGATCGCCGACCCCCCCGTGCCCTGCTCGGGGACAGGGCGAAGCAGGTGGCCGCCACGCGCGCCAGGTGGAGCTCGCGGGCCAGTTCCGCCTCCGAGACGCGCGCTTCCTGCAAGGCGAGAACCGCTGATGACCTGAGGACCCGATCACGTGGGAGGCCATCTTCTCGCGCTCGATCGGGCTCTGGCAGCGCA